AATTAATTAAGACAACTCCCACCTGTTTATGCTCTCTGTATGTGTGTATATATATCTCCTCAATATATGTTCCATTCTATATGCATCCGAAGAAGTGGGCTGTAGTCCACGAAAGCTTATGCTCTAATAAATTTGTTAGTCTCTAAGGTGCCACAAGTCCTCCTGTTCTTCTTTGAGCAAACAGTGCTATTTTCTCCCAGAAGGGATACTGGTATTGGGACATCAGTGCCTAACAGTTCACTACTCTAATGCCTAGTGTGCAGAGGAGCATTTAGCTTCTTACCTTCACCATCTGAAGGGCTAGAGTGGACTCGACCACCTACAGCTCTTTGACTGGCAACCACCACTACCAACAAATCTGGGGCTGGGAGAGCAAGAAGCCCTCACGAGGAAGATAGTACAACTTGTCTGCAAGTTTAGAAATTACCTGCCCAGAAGCTGGGTTTATTCGGGTGTTCTTTGTTGGCTACAATAGGTCATCTAGGCCTGGCAAGGTAATCTGATTCCTGGATGGTGAACCCAGGATATTGAAAGCTAGATATGTCATTTCCTCCAAGGTCACTGAAGGGATGTGTAAGGTAATAGCCTCCTTCTCTGTGCTCATGAAGTTATAGCATATCCTCTGGGGGAGAGGATGCACTCATGGTCATCCAGCAGAGTCTGAATGTCTGGATCTGTACATCTGTCTTGTGAGTTCAATTGGACTTTCCATCTCATCCCCAGCCACCACATGCAGGATTAGAGAAGTAGACTGTTCCTTCGGGAGCAGCAAGAGGAACAAACGCAGGCAGGACAGAGCCAGTGCAGGGCCCTCTCTTTGAGCTCTTATGTGAGAAGGCTCCTTTTGCAACTGTCCTTGCTCAGTCCTTTTGATTTTGGGGAAGTACCAGAGGGAAGGGTTTTATGGACACATTGCCCATTGTGGTACCTTCCAGCCCTGCCACTATGCAGCAGGGAATTAATTCCTATCATATGCTTGGATGAAAAAGGGTGATCTTATAGTCTGAAGGGCTGGAGCCAAGAGCCTTGGTAATGCTCTCTAGGTTCCCTGGGAGGGGAAGGATAAGGAAGGTGTCAAGCCAGTCGGTATCAGAAGGGTAGCCGTGTTAGTCTGGATCTGTAAAAAGCAACAGAGTCTCCTGTGGCACCTTATAGACTAACAGATGTATTGGAGCATAAGCTTTCGTGGGTGAATATCCACTTCGTCAGACGCATGTCAGTCTCTTTCTGAGTAGAGTGCAGATACTGAGGTTTCCAAGGATGACAACAATGGTTTTAAAAAATGCTAAGCTGAGACGGGTCAGATATTGCCCTGGAAAACTGGTAAGAGTCCTAGGGGGCGGTTAGTGTGTTTCTGGGAGGTTTGCATAACTGGGGAAACTAGCTTAGCCTTGTACAGTTTTCTTTTTCTCTCCCAGACGAGGAACCATCCCTACTCCCTTACATTTCCCCCCGCTGTCTTTTTGCACTGAGGATAAAGTATCTAGTGCCACTGAGGGGCCCCTGATCGAAGGGTTTCCCAGGGGCTTGATGAGATGAACCTATGTCACTATTAGAGGGGTAGCCATGTTAGTCTGGATCTGTAAAAAGCGACAAAGAGTCCTATGGCACGAAGTGGGTATTCACCCACAAAAGCTTATGCTCCAATACGTCTGTTAGTCAATAAGGTGCCATAGGACTCTCGCCTATGTTACTGTGGATCCAGTAGGAACTGAGGCTCTGAAAGAGCATCAAGCTCCTTATCAGGCTTATAATGAGCATAAGACTGGCACCGTAGCCCTAGGTCCAGCATAGAGAATGAGTCCATATTACAGCCTTGGCCCTCAGTACCAGACTTTATTTCGACTCTGGCTTTGGTGGCTGGAGCCTTGAGGGGAGATTTTTACACAGCAGTGCACAGAGCCAGAAAAGCCAGATCCTGAGGGGAAAGCCCTTGAGGGCAGGCTGTCAGCAGAGGTTGACACCTCTAAGGCCAAGCATTTCTTAGCACTGGCTCCAATCGAGGAGGTTGACAAGACTTTGCCAGGCTTTTTAGACACCTCAGAGGACTGGCTGCATCTTGCAGCCAGAAGGAGGAGCTGCTAATTCCTCCTGCAATGGCACAGCTCAGAGATGCTGCTTTCTAGCCCTGGGGGGTGGAGGTGCAGCCTGTGGATCAGTGAGGGGAATTACCTTTCCCCCCCACCCCCACCCCGGGCAAGCCAGATGGACTTGTGCCTGAAACAGGAAAAACAGCAGGGCAAATGACCCAACTCTTGAACCCTGGTTTCTCAATCTTTGGTTCTAACATATGGCAACTGGGGAAGGGGGGGGCTCTGCACCAGCGTGCCAAGGGGTGTGTGTGCTCTGCACTAGAGTGTCAGTGCCGGGGGGTAGGGGAGCTTGACTTTGCACCCCGGTGCTGAGGTCCTGGGAGAAAAGAAAGGCTACATAAGACATTTTTTAAATGATAAAAATTGGCCAGCTAAGGTGGCGGAAGTGGGAATGATCCATTCCAATGAGTCTGGGTCAGACTGACCCTGTATCTACTACAGCCTCTGGAAGGAACAGAGGTTGTTGGTGCACCATGCCCCTGATAGCCCCACCTTTGACTGGTCAGAGCTGGGGGGAGGGTTCAGGGGTGCACAAGCCTTCCAAGACGGACTGCTACTAGCAAGTTCCACTAGTCTAAGCTGCACCCGTGGTGCATCCTCAGCAGCAGGAATGGGCAGAGACCATTCGAAGAGACCACTGATTTAGCTTAACAAAGAGAAGGTTAAGGGGTAATGAGTATAGTCAATAGGTATTGACATGGGCAACAGCTATTTAATAATGGGCTCTTCAGTCTAACAGAAAGATACAACGTGATCCAATGGCTGGAAATTAAAACTGAAATAAAGCATGTTTTTACCAGTGTGAGTAATTAACCATTGGAACAATTTATCAAGGATCATGGTAGATTCTCCATCCCTGACAATTTTTAAATCGAGATAGGATTTTTTTTAAAAGCTCTGCTCTAGGAGTTGTTTTGGGGCTGTTCTCTGGCCTGCGTTACACAGGAGGTCAGACTACATAATCACAGTGGTCATTTCTGTCCTTGGAATCTATAAAAACCACTTTGTTTTACAAACTGAACATGGGACCCAAACCAGCCCAGCAGCATCCTTTCAAGGGGCTGGAGAAGTCTTTATCTAGCAATGGCAGGGTGCTTGGGCCTCTACATGCCAAAGACAGACAGCTCCAGTGCCCAAGGACATCCAGCCTCCTGGCCAGAGTAGATGGGACACAGGCAGGAGTCTGGAGGAGGAAATCATACAATTATGAAGCCTGTACAGTCAGCACAGGAAGGAACAGCAAGAGCCATTGCTAGATTTTTTTGAGCTATCATGGCAAAGCCAAGCAGACCTTTCCTCACAGCCAATCAACAGGCAGCTGCTCCAATCCAGCTCCAATTTGCAAAATAGTTCTGCTGTGGTATGAGCCTGCAGAAGCAACCCTGCAACCAAGAAGAGCTTTGTGGGAAGCGTGGCCTCATGGAAAGGAGATTCGACCTTGACAATGGAGTCATTGCTGGGACTCTAATACACACTGAATAGAGTGCCCATGAGGCAGGCTGCCAAATTATCCCCCAGCCAGGAAGCAGGGACAATTTCTACCAACACTGGACTCAACAGCTTTTACCAGCCATGAGGGAATGAACCCACGTGGCACGTCACATGTCAAAGCTCCACCAGCATCTTCAGAACCAGACTGAGCAAGATGGATGGAAACTCCTCTGGCAAACACATCCTAGTCATGCTCCAGACAGCCAGTTTGCCACAACCAACTGATCCCACCTCCAGAGAGAAGCCAGCAATACTTGTTGCTTCCTCTCAGGAACAAGAGTATGGACACAGTCACCTCCCTGCAGGAACCAGCAGCACTACACACTCCATCTGAGCTCAAACCCGGTCCATGCCCTCAGAGAATGGCAGACTGTTTTCCAGCATGTACAGGAAGTGCAGCCCCCGCAACTGGAGATGACAGACTGAAGGTGATTCATGGAGCAGCAGCAACTGCATTCGCTCAGCTCTTCACCAGTCTGACTCCGCACTCGGCACATTAATGCCCATTGCGTCTGCTTATGGAATGAAGTGCCAAAGCAGTGACTTGGAGAAGGGATCTTCAGTCATAGCAATTTCTATAGTGACTATCTAATGAGTTTGCAAGCAGGTGCTGGAGCAGAAGCTGGCCTGAGGAAGCATTCACACCAAGCAAAGAAGTGCCAAGTACCAGAGGCTGATGTTCTCCCTCAACAGTTCAAATTTGCATCTTTGGAATAATTCTGAGCAAGAATCAAACAACTTGGGTAAAAATTTATTTTACATACAGAACAGAGTATTTTCTTTACAGAAGGTGACTAGCAAGTCTGAGATTCCCAGAGCTCTGAACTGGAGAGCCAGGAGATTGCAGTTTAAGAATCAGACACGGGGGTGGCTTTCAGCACCACGCACTTTGGTGGGGAACTGCAGAAGGTTTAACTGCACAACTCCAAGTTAGGCTCAAGCCCCCCCACACCCCACACCCGTGTCAGGCTGGCAAATGACCCTTGGCTGGTAGAGATCTTTCCAAAGTTTGACTCGCTGAGAAGGACGAGGCCTGGGAAGATGCCAGGCACCATTTCAAGCATCTTGTTTAATTCGACTCTCACAAAACTATACATGAAGATGGTGGAACAACACAATCTCTGTGAAGTACAAAACATTAAATTACGGGGCTGCAAACAAACAGGACAGCAACAACAGCAGGACCCTCCTAAGCCAGTTATTCTATGAGCAGCTGGTTCATGACTGATTTTATATCACGATCCTAATTCAAATGTACAGAGTACAAAAAATACTTTGACCAATATTCAATTGTACCAGAACCAAGCAATCTACTAAAAAGCAAGTATTACTCTAGAGGCCAATAAGTCCTTAAAAGCAGGGAGGGGCTGAGGAGACTTGCTCGTGCATAGCTGCCGCCAGACTCATTCGCGCTGCTCCATTTTTACTTTGGGAGGTCTCAGAAAGGTCCTGTTTTTTTTTCTTTCTTCCCTTTTGTATTTGCCTGGAAGTTTCTCCAGCTGTCCACACGGCCATCCCGACTCTCCTGAGCAGGACAAAGGAGGAGGAAGGGTTAACAAGAGCCAAGAATAGGTCACCTCCTACCAACTCCAGCAGATTGCTGGCATTTTCCTTTTTGCCCAGCAGAGGGCACTCCCCACGGAGATCCCCTAGCACAGTGGTCCCCAAACTGTAGGGTGCACCCCCCTAAAGGGGGCACAGAGGAACTTTCAAGGGGCACCAGGGGGGTCCTCGGCCAGCCCACACAGGGAGTGGGGAGGGAGCACCACCTGGCCCTGCTCTTAGCCCCGACTCCTGACCATGGCTCTGGCCCCGCTCTCAGCCCCGGCTCCTGACCACAGCTTCCGAGTGGGGTGTGGACCAGGTAACCGGGGGAGGGGTGCAACTGAAAAAGTTTGGGGACCACTGCCCTATCAAGAGCGTAGATGACTGCCAGCTCCTGGAAGGCCACTGGACAGCAGACAGGGACTGAGAAGAGCAGATGAACAAGAATATTACCAAGAGTAGTTGCTGGATGGTTTCCAATCCCCCCAGTGCAAGAGAAGTATGTTGGTGTCTTGCTCTAGCAGAGACTAGCCAGGGTTTGCAGCAGTAATTGGGGCCATCAAATCCTCATTAGCACAAAGCAAACAAGAAACCTCACTTCCCATCTCTGCCTTAAGTCACGGATTAATCAGCCAAGAACCAAGCCGCTGAGTCCTAGGTCACAGCTCTCAGCCTTTCCCCACCTTCCACCCCACATCCCAGTAAAGCCTGTGTGCCTATGCTGCAGCATTAACCTCCACCCCAGCCACCACTTCTTCCTTTTTTCACACCACTCCCTTCCTGAGCCATCCCCATGACAGAGGTGTGGCAGAAGAAGGGCTCTCAGCAGTATGTTTTACTCTCCTCCTCCACCAGCTCTAGGACATAACTGGAAGGGGGGTCAGCCTCAAGGGGGCACCCCACAGACCTTGCTCCTATCAGCCGACAGGCTGAAGGCCCCAGACAGTGGGACAGAACAAGGAGTGTCCTGGTGGGTGGGTGTTTCCTTCACATCATCTGAGCAGCATGCAGAACAAGCACAGAGTCTGCCCCAATGTGCTGACTATAGCCTCTGGGCCCTCCTGAACCAAGGCAGGTCTAGACACAGATTTTGTACCAATCTAAATATTTCAATTCAGGGACGACTTTTTAACCCCAACAGTTAAATCAGAGCAGCCTCCTAGGGTGGCCAGTTATCCTGGTACGAAGAGACTTAAACCAGTATAACTCATTTCCACACATTTAGGGGAATGAGCTATATCGCAGTAGGACATCTTCATACCTGAATATCTGCACCCACCCTAGGGGGTTGACCTGATTTAACTAGACCAGTTTCTACAGATATTTAAACTAGTACCAAACAGTGTGCACAGACTAACGCTAACACGTTGGGCCTCAGGCTGAAAACTCTGTGCATCCTCGCACTGCAGCGGACCCAGCTCCCTGCTTGGGAAAAGCTGTACAACAGCTTTCATTCTAGGCCCCTAATTCACATACTCTCAACTGGGGCAAACTTTCCAGGCTTGGAATCTGTGTGAACGAGAATTTTCAGAGTGTGCATGAGCATGGTGGGATGTTCTGACCTGCTTGTTCTTCATAGCGATCACTGTAAATGGCTGAACTCTCAAGCCAGGCCTAAATAGTCCCCACTGAGCCACACATGCCAACTTTAACAATAATTGTTGTAAAATAAAGCTGTGAGCATTTGGAAATGCAGGAGGGAGCACACAATAGAAAGCTCCTTGGGGTGGAAACAGACAATACAGCTGATCCAGACCAACTCAGAATACAAGGAGGACCACAGAGAGGGACCAAAGTACCAAAAAGAGACATTAGGGAAAGGTCCACAAGTATCAAGCTGTCAATTCCACAGCCCCACCCCCCAATCTCAGTTAGGGATGGTGACCTGCACAGAAGGGGCGACTGTACCTGTTGTTGCTAATATCCAAAAAGGATTCAGAGCTTTTTAAAAGCATTTTTTCCTCCTGCTTTTAATCCTACCAATATCCAAAATGTCTAGACTTTCTTCCCAATTTGGGCTGGGGACTCTGCTGACCCATAATTGAATAGGTGAAGAGAGCTGAATCTTGAGCAAAGAGCTTTTCTCACAAATGTCTGAGAGATGTCTGAATTAAATGGTTTAAACAAAACCAGAGTTTTCAACTGTCTGAATAAAAATCCCTTCTTTCAATTATTCAGTTGCATTTCTGTTATATTGGTGATCTCAGAGCCTTCTCAGTTCTACAGGTGCCCCTAGAACAAAATTCACATGACAATCTGAATTTTGGACATAAAAACACAGCAGGAAAAGTTAAGAGAACTTTCAGGCCAGTCAAAGAGACAACTCTCCAGGGCTCCTCCTTTGCAGGTCATCTCAAAATGTCTCGGCCAAACCCTGCCAAATGCCCTGTAGGATGCAGTAAGATGAGGCCCTGAAACATAAACCCTTGGTATCAGAGGCCTGGCATAAGGCCTGAGGCCTGAACCAAAGGAATGGTCAAGACTTCGCTAACATAAAGCAAAGTTAAGCGGTGAGCCAGAGGCAGGCCCTGCTCCCAGAAGTTGGCAAGAAGAAGGCTGTTAATTGCATGTATACACATACCTAAAGGGTATCAAGCATTAATAGTATAAACAGGTTCCAGGATGGCACCAGAACAGTCCAGTATGAACACACTCCACAGAGATAAGACGGAACAGCCTGACCCATCCTAAACAACAGGATCAAAAGGATAATATGATGGATAGACTTGTTGGTTCGAACCAACATGTACCAGGAGAGAGGCAGCATCCCAACTCACAGAGGGATTGTACCTCAATGCCTCAGGAGTGATGTGTAACTTGTTTGTATCTGTGTAGAAGAATGCATCCCTGGGGCGGTGTCTTTGTCCGGCCTAGGGGGCAGTGGAGTGTCCCACCACTGACTGAGCTGTGTCCACTGTCAGGTGGCACATATTCGTAGTATATGTCTGCGGGAAACTATTACTGTGTTTCGTTTGACAATAAACCTGGCCGGATGCCTTCGGACCTTATTGGAGTCTGTGGTCATTGGGAGTTCTCTCGGGGTCTGCTGTGCCAGCGATCTGCAGAGCTGGGGCAGCACACAGGGAGAACACACACACACCGCTGACTGTTATCATCACTGAACAGAGCAGAGCACCACACCGGTGGTGTCTGACGACATAGGAAACCATCTCTCACTGTCCAGGGACAGACAAGGCACTAACTGATCCTTTCCTTTCCTGACTCCTAGAATTCTAGGAAGCAGACTCAGACTGGAGCATGAGGCAGCAGAGAGGAAAGCAAGACGTACATTAACAAACACTAGCGAGTCAGATGGAGACGCAGCAGGAGCATTACTAGAAAAATGAATCCATTCTAAAATACAAACCTGGGTCCAGTTTACATATAAAATGCAGTTATTGTCTGGAATGCTACTGAATAAACATGGTTCTTCCTACTCCGGAGACTTGCTCCCTATGTGAAGCTGTCAGAGCTACTGGCTTCAGTAACACAAAATGAGGTTAAATTACCCTGCAGAGTCTCACAGCTCTGGGAGGGAAGCTGGATTCCCCTTTGGCTCTCAGGCCAGAATGGTTCACTACATTCTGATTGCCAAACCTTTGTTGTTGGTGTTGATGCACATGCCAGAAAGAGCCTCGAGTGACCAGAAGGAGCGTATACCACTGGCTGCCAGAAAGAGCTTTTTATTTGTGAACTCAGCGGGTTTGAAATGGAGTCAGAGGACTCTCTGGGTGCCATTTTCAGGGTCACTTTCCAGGTCCAAATCTCATCTGAAGCAAAAACATTTGTCTTGCAGCACTGAGAACTCAGAGGAGAATCTCTCCTAGAAACAAGAAACCTGAAACAACCTCAGCAAGGGTCTCCCCTCCAACAACACACAGAGACTCTCACCAAGAATTCACATGCTCTTCTGTCTCTAAACCTTCTCTCCCAGCTAGAGAGGGGTATGTGGGGGGGTGTCAATTACTCCAGTTCCCAACATTAGCACACCTAGAGGGGCGCTCCACCTCTGCCCCCATTTGGTCTTTGATTCTCTGCGCCTCTGGCAATCTCAGCAAATTGAGATGGCAATTTTTGTGATGTGAGCACCTGACCACCTGAAACTAGCCTGGGACCCACCGACTAGTTCCACACTGGTTGTTGAACAGCCATCAGAGGTTAACTGTTATTGGTCACCAATGACCTGGGCTCAGAGGCAACCCAATCTCCTGACTTGGGGTAGATATCAGTCGGTGACCTGGAGGTGAAAGACACTGGACTGCAATTCACCAGACACCTACTCTCAGAAGGGGCAGGGATCACATCCTTTCCCTTGGCAGTGAGACACCCTTCAGTACTCATGAGACACGCAAGGGTCTGGTTCCTGCCCATCAATAAGGCAGCAAACAGGTTCCTATAGGATCCTTCACTAAAATGTGCCTACTTGGAGTGCCTCGTGCCTTTAGTGGATGGGATGATCTTCCTTGTTCTTCGTGTACATGCTCTGCACCCTACCCAAGAGCGGATATGACTCCCTAAATGCAGGTAGCAACTGGTTATGCTGCAGATTACCTCAAAGTTCTTCTGCCATTCTCGCTCTCGCTTGGCTTTCTCTTGAGCCTCGATTTCCTCCTCTCTCTGTCGCTTCCTGTACAAGAGGCCATAAAGCAATAATTATGGACCCACCAACATCTACATTAAAAAGACACACAAAACCCCTCACCACAGAGACATCTGCTCTGATTGCAAAGGGGAGACTAACTGCTTATCAGAACAGATGGATGAAATACTCATTTCTAAGCATCTAGTAGAAGAAAAGTGCAACCGAAGGTAGCATTATTGATACAAGACCCTACTTGCAAACCATACAGATGAAAATATATATATATATATATATCACACACACACACACACACTAGACCATATAAAAACTGACTGGTGAGCCACCAGGATATGGATGTCACCAAATGACAACACAACACCCAAAAGATTTCAGGCACGTAATTAACATTAGGAATTTAGCCCTTTGCACACTACTTGCATACAAACATACGTGCCAATTTATTTAATTGTTTCTCTGGGAAATGCCAGTATCCTCAGTTTAAAATAACATTGTCTTTACAAACCAAGTCTCCACACCGTAAATTTACACACACAGAATTCTGCAGTCATGACATTATTTCTTCTCAGTAAACCTGAAAAAAGATCCTCATTCACACACACGGAACTCCGGTGTTGCTCATACCTTTCATGCATCTCTTTAGCTTCTCTCTCTTTCCTTTTAATTTCCAGTTCAGCAAAGAGCTTCATTGTCTGTTTGTACACAGCCTGTTTGAACTGTAAGCAACAGAACTTTATTTCAACAACAATGTATTGTAATGTGGTTACATAAGCCTCTGTTTTACACTAGCCCTAGTCTAGTCTACAGTCTAGCATCCAGGGGTTATTAGGGACAAGTAAGAAGCTCCAAATGAGACCCATAGTCAAAGGGCATTAATCATAATGTGGTGTGACACAAAAGCTCAACTCTTGGCATCCAAGTTAATGCATTTCCATTGACCTCCACAGGAGCTGACAGGTCAGCAGGCCACTCCAGCCTTCCCTTGCTAGGGGGACAATTACCCTTTACCTCAGGATCCATGTTACCAGCAACTGCAGAGCCAGAGGAACGGGATAATGCTGCACAGAAACACTCTGGTCACACAGCCTATTGGGTATGGTTGGCTGGAGTGAAGAAGTGCACCCCATTTCAGTTCTGCCATTGGTGGGGAAAGCATGCAGGGGGGGGTATTGCCCCACAATGCCACTCTGCCCAAAATCCCTACCCAGCACCTCCTTCCACAGCAGTATCACCCAAGGTCAAAATCCTGTACCTTTTGGAGGCCCACAAGAAAGAATTTTAATGCTCAAAAAATTGTATTGCTCTCTTATTTACAAGGCAGCCAGCCTTACTAGCAACCCAAACTAATGGGGGGGAGGAAGGAGTCATCTCACATTATGGCCTGCATCAGAAAAGAGCTGTGTTAGCCTGCCATAGTCTTTTTTCCCCACTTGCTATTACTAAAGCAGAGTCGGAATCAAAGCTCTCACTGACAAGCCCTGCTACCCTTCTGTTGAGTCCTGCAATGTAGCCTTGACTGCTGCTATGGAAAGGACATGAGATCACTACCCAGGTATTATGGGCTTCACTGCAAAATCATTCTACACTAAAAAACATGCTGAAAAATGGGAAACCTGGATTTAAATAGAAGAACCTTTAATAACCAACATACATAACAAGGAACTTCTAGAAACAAATGGAAAGTAAACAATGGTACTTCACTAAGGCCTCTTTATTAGCTGTCAACAGAAAGTCCCTTTGTAAGAACAAAAGACAAACTAGAAGAACATCCTTTAGTTTCTAAATACCTATTGAAACATACGCTCTTCCAAGTCACAGACAAGTGTTTCTGTATCATTGTAGAAATAAAAACTGCTTAATAGTCACAGATTCCAAGGTCAGAAAGGACCACTATGCTCACCTAGTTGACCTCTAGTCTGGAGTCATTGTGGATAGTTCTCTGAAAACATCCACTTAATGTGCAGCAGCAGTCAAAAAAGCTAACTATGTTAGGAACCATTCGAACAGAAATAGATAATAAGACAAAAAACATCATAACACACTATATAAATCCATGGTATGCCCCCACCTTGAATACTGAATGGAGTTCTTGTTGCCCCATCTCAAAGAACAGATATTAGAATTGGAAACAGTATAGACACAAAAATGTTTAGAAGAACAGCTTCCATACAAGGAGGGATTAAAAAGCCTGGGACTGTTCAGCTTAGAAAAGAGATGACTAAGGGCTGATATGATAGAGGTCTTCAAAATCATGAATGGTAAGTGAATGAGGATGTGTTATTTATCCCTTCACATAACACAACTAGGGTCACTGGATAAAATGAACAACCAGCAGGCTTAAAACTAACAAAATGAAGTACTTCTTCACACAACGCACATTTGCCATGGGATGTTGTGAAGGCCAAAGTATAACTGGGTTAAAAAAAGAATTAGATAAGTTCATGGAGGATAGGTCCATCAATGGCTGTTAACCAAGATGGTCACAGATGCAATCCCTGGGTACGTCTATATTTACCTCCGGGTCCGGCGGTAAGCAATCGATCTTCTGGGATCGATTTATCGCGTATTGTCTAGACGCGATAAATCGATCCCGGAAGTGCTCGCCGTCGACGGGGGAGCCTGCCTGCCGCATGTGGAACTAAGATACTTCGACTTCAGCTACGTTATTCATGTAGCTGAAGTTGCGTATATTAATTCAAAGTGGGGGGTTAGTATGGACCAGCCCCCTGTTCCAGGTGTCCCTAAAACTTCAAGTGCCAGAAACTGAGATGGGACGACTGGGAAGGGATCACTCAAAACTGCATAGGGCCAAGAACAGATTCCTCTTTGACTTTCAGCCCCTTTAAACAGTCCCAAAAATATCTGCTCTCATGCAACTTACTACTTCCGGATCATCCTCCTCTACGTTGGTTGGCTTTCCTTCCTTCTTTAACAACTTCTTTTTTTCTTTCACCTAAAGAGCGTCATACATCAGAACAAAAAGAGCATTTTATTGGTGTTAGGTTAGTGATGTCCAGCTGATTCTTTAACCCCGACACACCCACGTAACTAGGTGTTTTGCAAAGAGACCTTAACCTGGATTTGTGTTTTACATTACATCCAAATGTTAAGTATCAGAGGGATAGCCGTGTTAGTTTGTATCCACAAACACAACGAAGAGTACGGTAGCATCTTAAAGACTAACAGATTTATTTGGGCATAAGCTTTCTTGGGTAAAAAAAACCCACTTCTGCAGATGCATGGAGTGAAAATTACAGATACAGGCATAAATATATATTGGCACAGCAAGAAAAGGGAGTTACCTTACAAGTGGTGAACCAGTGTTGAAGGCCAATTCTTCATGTGCCAATATATATTTATGCCTGTATCTAATTTTCACTCCATGCATCTGAAGAAGTGGATTTTTTTACCCAAGAAAGCTTATGCCCAAATAAATCTGTTAGTCTTTAAGGTGCCACTGGACTCCTCACTATCCAAGTGTTGTGGCTCTAGATATAGATATAGATAGATAGATACACACACACACACTTACTTTGTACCAGTCTACTGAGAAGTTTGCCACAATCGCTAGCAGAACAGGTGAGTTTCTTGGTTTAGAGAGCCCCTGCATTTCCCCTTATCAGCTTGTTTCTCCAGTTTAGTGTGTGTATGACTAAGCCTACCTTTCAGCTTCCTCCCTCACTTTACAGGGCTTCTTCCCAAAACCCACCTGCCCCACTACACATCCAGTTCTAACCACCCTCTGCCTCCCTGTATTTGTTCAGTATCATTCATTCATAGAGTTTAAGGCCAAATGGGAACATTAGACCATCTAGTCTGACCTTGAGTATATCGCAGGCCATTACATTTTACCCAGTTACCCCTGTATTGAGCCCAATTACTTGAGTTTAAGTTCATTCTCGCTCATGCAACTGGACTGTAGCTCCTTGGGGCACAGATCTGTTCTGGGTTTTGGACAGCTCACCTATTCTGCCTTTAGCATATACCGTGCTGTACAACTAAATGACAACAATTCTCTAAGCACCAAGGGCTGTTACACATGAAGTACTTACAGTATGTTCCACATATTCTTTCCCTGCCTGTATCACATCCAAGGCCCTCTTCTTTTGCTCCTGGTCCAGTAGCAACTTGTATGCTTTGTCCACAGCTAACAAGAACATAAGAACATAAGACTGGCCATACTGGGTCAGATCAAAGGTCCATCTAGCCCACTATCCTGTCTTCCAACAGTGGCCAATGCCAGGTGCCCCAGAGGGAATGACCAGAACAGGGAATCATCAAGTGATCCATCCCCATCGCCCATGCCCATCTTCTGGCAAACAGAGGCTAGGGATACCATCCCTTCCCATCCTGGCTAATAGCCACTCATGGACCTATCCTCCATGAACTTATCTAGTTCTTTTTTTAACTCTGTTATAGTCTTGGCCTTCATAATATCTCTGGCAAAGTTTCACAGGTTGACTGTGCATTGTATGAAAAAATATTTTCTTGTGTTTGTTTTAAACCTGTGGCCTATTAATTTCATTTAGTGACCCCTAGTTCTTGTGCTATGAGGAGTAAATAACACTTCCTTATTTACTTTCTCCATACCAGTCATGATTTTATAGACCTCAAACATATCCCCCCTTAGTCGTCTCTTTTCCAAGCTGAAAAGTCCCAGCTCATATGGCAGCCCTTCCATATCCCTAATCATTTTTGCTGCCCTTCTCTGAATCTTTTCCAATTCCAATATATCTTTTTTGAGATGGAGCGACCACATCTGCATGCAGTATTCAAGATGTGGGCGTACCATGGATTTATATAGAGGCAATATATTTTCTGTCTTATTATCTATCCCTTTCTTAATGATTCCCAACTTCTGTTCGCTTTTTTGACTGCTGCTGCACATTAAGTGGATATTTTCAGAGAACTATCAACAATGACTCCAAGATCTCTTTCTTGAGTGGCAACATCATTTTAGATGTATAGTTGAGATCTGAAAGTTGAGATTATGTTTTCCAATGTGCATTACTTTGCATTTATCAACACTGAATGTCACCTGCCATTTTGTTGCCCAGTCACCCAGTTTTGAGAGATCCTTTTGTAGCGCTTCGCAGTCTGCCTGGGACTTAACTATCTTGAGTTGTTTTGTATCATCTGCAAATTTTGCCACCTCACTGTTTACCCCTTTTCCCAGATCATTTATGAGTAGATTGCACAGAACTGAGCACAGTACAGACCCCTGGGGGACACCACTATTTACCTCTCTCCATTCTGAAAACTGACCATTTATTCCTACCCTTTGTTTCCTATCTTTTAACCAGTTACCAATCCATGAGAGGACCTTTCCTCTTATCTCATGACAGCTTCCTTTGCTTAAGAGCCTTTGGTGAGGAACCTTGTCAAAGGCTTTCTGAAAATCTAAGTACACTATATCCACTGGATCCCCCTTGTCCACGTGCTCAGTGAACCCCTCAAAGAATTCCAGTAGATTGGTGAGGCATGATTTCCCTTTACAAAAACCATGTTGACTCTTCCCCAACAAATTATGACAGGTTTCAGAGTAGCAGCCGTGTTAGTCTGTATCCGCAAAAAGAAGAACAGGAGTACTTGTGGCACCTTAGAGACTAACAAATTTATTAGAGCATAAGCTTTCGTGGACTACAGCCCACTTTCGTGGACTACAGCCCACTTCTTCGGATGCATATGCATATGCATCCGAAGAAGTGGGCTGTAGTCCACGAAAGCTTATGCTCTAATAAATTTGTTAGTCTCTAAGGTGCCACAAGTACTCCTGTTCTTCTTCCAACAAATTATGTTCATCTATGTGCTGACAATTTTGTTCTTTACTATAGTTTCAACCAGTTTCCTGGTACTGAAGTCAGGCTTACCGGCCTGTAATTGCCGGGATCATCTCTGGAGACCTTTTTAAAAACTGGCATCACATTAGCTATCCTCAAGTCATTTGGTACTGGAGCTGATTTAAATGATAGGTCACAGACTACAGTTAGTAGTTCTGCAACATCACATTTGAGTTCCTTCAGAACTCTTGGGTGAATACCATCTAGCCCTGGTGACTTATTACTGTTTAGTTTATCAATTTGTTCCAAAACCTCCTCTAATGACACCTCAATCTGGGAAAGTTTCTCAGATTTGTCACCTAAAAAGAGTGGCTCAAGTTTGGGAATCTCCCTCACATCCTCAACCATGAAGACAGATGCAAAGAATTCATTTAGTTTTTCCGCAATGGCCTTGGCGTCCTTGAGTGCTCCTTTAGCTTCAAGACTGTCCAGTGGCCCCACTGGTTGTTTAGCAGACTTCCTGCTTCTGATGTACTTAAAAAAAAAATTGCTATTACTTTGAGTCTTTGGCTAGCCATTCTTCAAATTCTTTTTTGGCCTTCCTAATTATATTTTTATACTTCATTTGCAAGAGTTTATGCTCCTTTCTATCTTCCTCACTAGGATTTAACTTCCACTTTTTAAAGGATGCCTTTTTGCCTCTCACTGCTTCTTTTACTTCATTGTTTAGCCACAGTGGCACTTTTTTGGTTCTCTATGTTTTTTTAATTTGTGGTATATATTTAAGTTGAGCCTCTATTATGGTGTCTTTTAAAAGTTTCCATGCAGCTTGCAGGGATTTCACTTTTTGCGCTGTACCTTTTAATTTCTGTTTCACTAACCTCCTCATTTTTGTGCAGTCTCCCTTTCTGAAATTAAATGCTACAGTGTTGGGCTGCTGTGGTATTTTCCCTGCCACAAAGATGTTAAATTGAATTATATTTTTTCACTATTACCAAGCGGCCCAGCTATATTCACCTCTTGGACCAGATCCTGTGCCTCTCCTCTTGTGGATTCCAGGACTAGCTGCTCCAAGAAGCAGTCATTTAAGGTGTCAAAAAACTTCATCTCTGCATCCTGTCCTGAAGTGATAGGTACCCAGTCAATATGGGGATAGTTGAAATCCCCATTAATATTGAGTTTTTTATTTTAATAGCTTCTATAATGTCCCTGAGCATTTCAAAGTCACTATCACCATCCTAGTCAGGTGCTCGGTAGTATATACCTACTTCTATATTCTTATTATTAGAGCATGGAATTACTATCCATAGAGATTCTATGGTACAGTTTGGTTCATTTAAGATTTTTACTTCATTTGATTCTACGCTTTCTTTCACATATAGTGCCACTCCCCCACCAGCATGACCTGTTCTGTCCTTCCGATATATTTTGTACCCTGGTATTACTGTGTCCCATTGATTATCCTCATTCCACCAAGTTTCTGTGATGTCTATCATATCAATACCCTCATTTAATACGAGGCACTCTAGTTCACCCATCTTATTATTTAGACTTCTAGCATTTATATATAAGCACTTTAAAAAGTGTCACTTTTTAGCTGTCTGCCATTACATGATGTAATGGAATGGAACTTTAATTCATTTGACAAAAAACACATTCACAAAACACTATGAGTCTAAGCTACTACGTGACTTTTGTAGACTGTTTCCAGGGATCTCCTAGGTCAGTCACAACTTGACTAGCTAGAAGAAATATCAATACAGACTCCAATGGCAAAGACCTTCCTTGGGCCACATTTAGGATTAATTAGGCTTGAAATGGTCAGTCCCAGTAAGTGGTGGGGTTTTAGAGCATCAGGCAGTTAGTTTTATACTGCATGACTCCTACTGGCTTTAGTGCAAAGTGTGTGGCTAAAACCCACAAAACATTGCCCTACACACAGTGCACATGTTTTTCTACTCCAGTTAGAAAAGTCCCACTAGATCTATATGCCACTTGAGTTTCAATTTGTTTATTATCAGACTGTAACAAAGCAACTGCTGCCACCTAGAGGAATTCTGCAGCTGTAAGAGAAAGTATTAATACTGAATAGCTGTATTTCTCTCTCTCCAAACGCACCTGCACTCAAGGCCCAGTTTGCAGTCCCTCACCATCCAGGGAAGAGAACAAGTTCTCCCCTGATCTAGTAAATTAAAGCATCAAAACCAGCTAAGGAGAAACACCAGTACAGTAGCACCATATGTGACACTGTCAGGGATATTACCTTCAAAGGCCTTCTGGGCTCTTTCAGCATCATCTTGATTTTTGTCAGGATGTACCAATATGGATAACTACAAAGAACGAGAAAGATTGCAAGATTAGAATAGTTTTTACAGATAATGGATATTTCATAGATGCCTCCATGGAAAAAAGCACTCTTTCTGAAGTAAGCGACATCCGACAGGAGAAAAGCATCAGCTAAAAAGACACCACACTGCTTATATAGCACAGGATTCTCTCCTAGTGAAGAGAAAATTGACTCAATGGAGCTTCCCCACTTAGTGTAGTATCAGTAAAGGTCTGAAGAGGACATTCTAACCAGTGGCAGCTTTAGGGCTAAATTTTAGGTGGGCATCATAATTCCACAGATCCACAAGGGCTCAATAAAAGCACTTCTGACAGAACGCTCAGTCCTTAGCTTGTCTGATCACAGTGTAGAACAAACACCCTTCCTTAAGTCCCGCTGCTCCAGAGGCCTCTGTCCACTGCCTAGCTCAAAACTCGGCTGCACACAGATATGGTCTGCTCCTCAGTGAGGTTATTTCTAGGGCACAGGATATTTCAGTTGAAAGGCCTGAACTCCCTCACTATGCAAGGGATGCAAAGTGCAGAGAATTAAGATCAGCAAGTCACAGACATTGAAAAATAACTCAGGGCCTCCTGACTCCCAACCCCATGCTCATTTCCTCAGGCCATAGGAGTATTTGGGGAAGATGCAATGCAACAGTTGGGAGTAGAATCCCCTTCACGACATCCTGCTCTCCCACAATACTGGGAAGTTCGCTGGCAGGATAAGAGAGTTGTTCTGCAAAAGTCAAGTGCTCACTGGACTCCTTAGCTACACATATAATCTATCATTAGGGGCAGGGTCATGGACTTTGCTAACATAAATATGCACTGGGCACTTCAACACTCTCTTGGTCAAACCAAGACCAGTTTCTCCTCAGACCAGGCCACGCACTGCTCTGCAGCAAAGACTATTTCCCCACCAATATGCAGCCTTCATACCTCAGCCATTACAGATAGCAAGAGCTGCTCCAAAAAAGTGCAAGGGCTAGTCCCTAATGGGCATTCTCCTTATGCTCATACACAGCTGACCCAACTTTGCTCAAGTTCTCAAGGTCCCTTCAGAGACATTCGGTACTACCACAGCTAGACCAACACAATGGCCACATACCTGCCGGAACCTCTTCTTTATTTCTTCATCTGTGACATCAGGATCCATCTGTAGTACCTAGAAGTACCCACAGCAGAGAGAGTTTCATGACAGGCACCAATTGTCAGGTTCCCTGTGGCCCAGCCCTGTAACACCTGTTTCACTGGCATACAGGGACAAAAAGTCAGGCAGAGGGGGCGTGGCTGGAGCATGTTGCTGTTCCAGTCTCCAGCTGGCCCCAGTATCTCAGTGATGCAAAGGTGCCAGGAAGCCACCTTTAGCTGCTAACTCCAATTTCAGCCCTGCAGTACAGCTCAACTTGTCTGGAATAGAAAATTGGAGCTGGTAGTATTTAGTGTTAAACAGGTTAAGTCATTTTTAACAACCTGTTTCCTGCCCAAAATTACTAACATCACTTTTGATTATTGATCTGATTGAATACCTATGACAGTCTCTACCATTAATACTGTTTGTTTAATTTACGCATTTTTCTCATCTTGAAATGAGAACAGATGGTGAGTTTCACTGCCTGGTTCTTGAGTGACAGCCTTGTGGTCCAGAGTCTGGAAGTTTGTCCGAGGAAGTGCCCATTAGGGTGTATCTGAATTTAGGAAATTTCTCTTCTGAACTGGTCTGCTGAATGAAAGATCTGGGGAACTTCTGTGCTAGCTCAACTCTTGAGTCTATAGGCACTGCAGCGGATGATGTTAATTAAAGAAATTGGAAATTAACTTTAATTCCAGGAAGAAAAACCCATGTAGCTGTTGGATTTCACAGGGTTTTCTGAAAAAATGTGTCCACTTTCTAACCAAGTGTCAGGATTCTGTGCAGAACTATTCTGCGCAGAACTATTCTGCAGACTCACCCTGGCAGACAGAGCAATTGGGCTCCTCTTTAGCTCAAACTCAGGAACATAGAAGGCTGAGAGTTTCTCAGGCTAGAGACAGGAACAGGAGACCCTGCACAAAGGCACCCTCAGAAGAGCCAGCACAGGCTATTGTTTGTTATACGTACAGTACAGCTTCAAGGCTTTGCTACAGCATGAATGCATGATGCACTGAGCGCAAGGGGGCACACCCTCATTTCACATACCTTGATGATCCTCTAAAGTGCCACAGGTAACTGACCTGAATTTGCTTACTGCCCTGCAAATTACATAAAACTTTATTCCAAGAAGCAATCTGTGCTAAAGCTTTGCTTCAGACATCCAAAATAAAATGCACAAGCAGTAAATACCAATGCAGTCGAGTCTGATAAGACCAGAAGCTGGTGAGACAGTTGTGTTATACCCTCACCCAAAAGATGCCAGCCATAAACCTGCCAAGTCTCCCAGTGACACAGCATACCAGTGAAACCTGCCAACAGGAGGTGCATGTTCAACTTGTGCCTCCTATTGGCTGAGCAGGGAGCGTGAGAACACAGTCTGTCTGATCAACTCTTGCTATCCGGGACTATGCCTGGATGTATTTTTCAATGGTTATTAAATATCCAGTAGGTAGACAAGGATCTCTAAGTAGGAGTCAATAAGAAGGAGAGGGTTCAAACTTACTTCAAATGGATTCAGGTTGAAATAGGAGGATCCAGGTCGGGTCAGTCTCTCAATCTGGTTTTTTGGCGTTAAAACAGAGTCACGCTTTTCGATCTGCTTCACCTGGAGAGGACACTTCATTAACTGAGTGATCACCACATAATTAGTTGTATTCTTGTATGACCACCATGACAGAGGGTTTCATTCAAAGGCAACCTACACAACATCCCACCCAGACTCAGGTCTGCAGCCATCAGCTCAGCGGGGACTTTCCTTGCTCAGGTATTTGCTGAGCTCACTTTATTCTTTTGCTGCATAATGCTATAGAACAATGCTCTCTCTTCACCTTCTCTATCCCCTCAGCCACAACAGTCCAGATACTGGTTTTGCTTCTTCCTGCACTAACCTGTTCAGCAGCTGTGCCCTAAACCCTGTACCATCTGATTCCTGACATCCTAACAATGCTGCTCACCTTCAGCCTTCACCATTCTCTAAGCTATATAAACTGCCCCTTAAAGTCTTATCTACACACAAACCTTCACGGGTTTAACTAGAGGTGTGGTTTTAAACTGATTTAATTAAGCTGGCACTAATGTGTGTGCAGATTTATTTATTTAAGAGTGGACTAATTTTGGTTCATCTTACTATTTTTTTCTTCACCATAGGATTAAGCTAAACTGAAATAAGAGCGTCCACATAGTCAATTTAAGTTAAACGAGCACAACATAAGAATGGCCATACCGGGTCAGACCAAAGGTCCATCTAGCCCAGTATCCTGTTTTCTCACCATGGCCAATGCCAGGTGCTTCAGAGGGAATGAACAGAACAGAAAATCAAGTGATCCATCTCAACACCCATTCTCAGCTTCTAGCAAACAGTGGCTAAGGACACCACTCATATGTAGACAGCGGTCATGTTAAACTGGTGCAAGTTTATGTGAAGCTAAAGCTTAACAGTCAGGAAAAGGAAAAGAAAATCCTCTGCACTTGTGTGGGATGGCAGATTGTCTAAGAGGCCAAGTGATGAGGTGGATCAGGTTCAGCAATGGTGCAGTGCTTGGCGTGCACACACACAAAGCTGCTTTCAGTGCAGGTATAATGAAAAAGGGGAGCTGTCTGAAGTGTACAATTCCCACTGAGTGTGATCCTCAAAATACAGCGTACAGTATGTACAACTAAAATATTGCACATTAGGATCCCCTTCATTTGCAACAAGGGTAGTGAGATGAGCCCCCTCTTGACAAGGAAGGGAAAGACCCCTCACCAGTAGCTTTGGTTAAGCCTGAAACTTTTAGGTCACCTTGAGAGCTCGGAACAGAGATTCAGCACCTTCATCTGTCCTCATCATTTACACTCTTCACTCGGCTACCCTGGAACCTGCATTCTGCTGGTTTATCTCCTGCTTTGTTACAGTGGCCAGTATGCACTGGACTCTAATAAACGCCTTATACAGTATCATGTTCCTCTGACATAGCTAACTTGTTAATTACCTTCCTTTGGGGTTTTTTTGGGGGGTGGGAGGGGGAGATGAAGTAGCATAAGGATGTAGTCCACTTTAAAAAGAACCATTTCTTATGCCAGAAAAAAGTAAGTGGTGCATTTGGGCTGCAGGTTGGTCTCACTAGCTGAATCACTGTAGATAAACGTGTAGTCGGATATTTGCTGCCATTGACACTAATGTTGCCTCTATCCACTTTGTTTCTTTTCTAGGGGTCTGTCTTTATGAACAAAGTCTGGGAGAAGGTAAGGAGAAGCTTCCCACAGTGACTCCAGCCTCATCCTCTGCAGAATCCAGGTTTGCATTGAAAAGAAATTTTAGGATGCAGGAGCCTGAAGTCGGAGGCCCAGGCCTGCGTCCAGGTACCCGAATATCGCGGCTGATAGTCAGAAGCGCCCCTCAGCCAGCAGCACCCCGCCGGCAGTGGGGGGCGGGGCTGACAGAAACCACGAGCCCTGCCCCTGCGCCGCTGCCGGGCGCACAGCCCGGGGGAGGGGGCACTGGCGAGCCCAGCTCGCGGTTCGCAGCGGCTCTGCAGGGCTCGGGGCAGCTGCCCAACTGCCCCAGCGGCGGCTCGTCCGGGAGGAGAGGCACGGGCCGGGCAGAGCCTCGGCAGCCCAGACGCTACGAGAGGGGCCACCCCAGGCCCAAGCGCGGCCGCCCAGCCCGGAGAGCCCGCGACGGCCCGCGCGCAGGTACCTCGCTGTAGAAGGTGAGAAACGCCTCCTCGGCGGTGCCCCCCGCCCCGCGCTCCCCCGGAGCCGCCATCGCCCGTGACACGGTGACCCCCACGTGACACAGACACCGTGCCCAACAGGGGCCGGCACCCGTCACGTGATCGGAGCTCAGTTCTACGCAAAGAGGCCCCTCCCTAGCCAGGCCCCGCCTCCTGCTCGCTGCTGGGGGAGGGTGAAAGGCCCCGCCCCAGCCTAAGGCCCGCCCGCGCTGGCTCCGCCATGATCCCGCGGGGGGGGGGGGACAGTCGGGACCAGTGACCTCCCTGAATTTCCCCAACCCGCCCAGTTTTGTGAACTAGTTACCTGCCAATTTAGTGACTGGAAATTTGAATTGAAATTGAAACATTAATACACACTTTAAAAGCGTATACAGTGTATGATAAAATACGTGTATCTGAAAAAGTATAATTGATTTGAAAAGTATGAACATAGACTAGCTTCCTTATACGGCGGTTGTTTTCTGGGACAATGTCAGTGCATTCATTCCGGTGATGCTGGCCACTCTAATAATTTCAAATGATGATTTGTAACAAAGTTTAAATGAGCGCTCCCTGACAGCTAGTGATGAGCTGGGGCTGGGGGGAAAGGCTTCAGGGCCAGATTGTATTTACATTCACACCTAATCAGGGCTGGTGCAACTCTATGCGAACTAGGCGGCCGCCTAGGGCACTTAGTGGTTGAGGGCACCTAAAAGCCTGCTCAGGGGAGGAGGTAGAGTAGAGGTGAGCTGGGACGCGGGGAGGGCCGCCTGCAGTAACCGGGGGGGGCGCACAGGGGAACTGCTCCCCGCCCCAGATCACCTCCACTCTGCCTCCTCCGCTGAGCACACAGACCCCGCTCTAATTCTCCTCCAATCGGCGCCGCAAGCCTGGGAGGGGAGGAGAATTAGAGTGGTGCCGGCGCACTCAGCGGAGGAGGCGGAGCGGAGGTGAGCTGGGACGGGCTCCCTGGGCGGGGTTAGCTTCCACAGGGGGGGCTCCCCAGGTGGGGTTAGCCGCTGCAGAGGGGGGGTACCCAGGTGGCGGGCTGGGTTAGCTGCCACGGCGGGTGAGGTTAGCTGCCACGGGGGGGGCTCCTCTGGTAGGGGGGCGTGGTTAGCTGCTGCAGGGGGGCGGGGTTAGCTAGGTGGGGGGATGGCACAAGGTGGAAGTTTTGCCTAGGGCACGAAACTTCCTTGCACCGGCCCTGCACCTAATACCTAAGTATCCAGCAAACAGAGCTGTGTTGCCCAAGTGATAGATTTTGGCTGGGGTTGGGTTACAAATCATTTGAAAGGGGGGGGGGGATGAAATATTGTTGTTCTTATTGTATGAGTAAAAGGCAGTAGAACTGTACTTAGCCTGTGCTGATTGAGGGCATCAAGAGAGAGGGTGGGGACCTGTCCCTCTCCACTGTTTAAAGACAGAGCTGATTAGGCTCCACAGATAGTCTTTTGTTCTGTTAAGTGACCACTGCAGCTGAAATCACTGATAATCAGGTCTAAGTGCTTAGTCCTGCTGTGGGGACAGTGTTTCTGTGGAAGGGACGGCCCAGACTGCACTAGCAGTGAGGTCCCCCACTGAGAGCTCAGCTGAAATCACTGAGTGCTGGGTGGAACCTCAAGAGACCAACTCGCAGAGGTCACAGTGGTGGCAGCAGCAGGTGATGGCGCAGGGCCATTGGCAACAGAGTGGTGGAGTGAACGGTAGCACAACAAACAGCAGTGGCCAGAGCGAACAATGAGCAGCTGGAGGAACGAGCAAGGTGCCTTCTTACCCCCCACCTGTGAGGTGTACTCACGTGAAAGCACCTCCGAACTCTGAGTCTCCACTGACCAAGGACAACACTGGTGAGCGCGGTGCGGTGGAGGGAAAAGTGAGGGGCACGTTAAATAAACATTTGTTTGTTGGACTATATTTTAGTGACTTTGCTCCAGAATGCTAGATTTGTGACTGGGAATGGAAACTTACATAAATGTTTCCTAGTAGGCCAAGATTTTTAAAATGCATTATTTGCCAAGGTTGTTATCTCACATCGTTGCTATCTTGAGAGGTCATTATGTTGGGGAGTTTCTGTACTAAACATTTTTATTATTATAATTAATTTTTACATAAGAATGGTCATACTGGGGCAGACCAATGGTCCATATAGCCCAGGACCTTGTCTTCTGACAGTGGTCAAGGCCAGGTGCTTCAGAGGGAATGAACAGAACAGGTTAAGTGATCTATCCCCTGTTGCCCATTCCCAGCTTCTGGCAAACAGGCTAGGGATACTCAGGCCTGGTCCCCACTAAGCCCCCACTTCGGACTAAGGTACGCAAATTCAGCTACATTAATAACGTAGCTGAATTTGAAGTACCTTAGTCCGAACTTACCGCGGGTCCAGACGTGGCAGGAAGGCTCCCCTGTCGATGCCGCGTACTCCTCTCGGCGAGCTGGAGTACCGGCGTCGACGGCGAGCACTTCCGGGATCGATCTGGGATTGATTTATCGCGTCTTAACCAGATGCGATAAATCGATCCCAGAACATCGATTGCCTGCCGCCGGACCCTCCGGTAAGTGAAGACGTACCCTCAGAGCATGGTGTTGCATCCCTCCCTATCCTGGCTAATAGCCACTGATGGACCTATTCTCCAGGAATTTATCTAGTTCTCTTTTAATCCTGTTATAGTTTTGGTCTTCACAGCATCCCCTGACAAAGAGTTCCACAGGTTGAATTTATGTTGTGTGAAGAAGTACTTCCTTTTGTTTTTTTTTAAAAACCTGCCGCCTATTAATTTCATTGGGTGACTACAAGTTCTTATGTTATGTGAAGGATTAAATAACATTTCCTTATTCACTTTCTTCACACCAGTCAAGATTTTATAGACCTCTATCATATCCCCCCTTAGTCGTCTCTTTTCTAAGCTGAAAATTCCTAGTCATTTTAATTTCTCCTCCTGTTCCATACCCCTAATCATTTTAGTTGCCCATCTCTGTACCTTTTCCAATTCCAATATATCTTTTGGGGGATGGGGTGATCAGATCTGCACACAGTATTCAAGGTGTGCACGTACCATGGATTTATATAGAGGCAATATGATATTTTCTGTCTTATTATCTATCCCTTTCTTATTGATTCCCAACATTCTGTTTGCTTTTTTGACTGCCGCTGCACATTGAGTGGATGTTTTCAGAGGGCTGTGTTGGTGAGTATCTGAGGCCTGGTCTACACTAGGCGTTTATGTCGAAGTTAGCGCCGTTACATCGAATTAACCCTGCACCCATCCACACCGCAAAGCTATTTAGTTCGACATAGAGGTCTCTTAAATTCGACTTCTGTACTCCTCCCCGACGAGGGGAGTAGCACTAAATTCGACATGGCCATGTCGAATTAGGCTAGGTGTGGATGGAAATCGACGCTAATAGCTCCGGGAGCTATCCCAGAGTGCACCACTCTGTTGACGCTCTGGACAGCAGTCCGAGCTCGGATGCTCTGACCAGCCACTCAGGAAAAGCCCCGGGAAAATTTGAATTCCTTTTCCTGTCTGGGCAGTTTGAATCTCATTTCCTGTCTGGACATCGTGGCGAGCTCAGCAGCACTGGCAACGATGCAGAGCTCTCCAGCAGTGATGGCCGTGCAATCTCAGAATAGAAAGAGGGCCCCAGCCTGTAATGGGCGGCAAGACTTGGCGCGGAACGCTGTGT